CAAACTTGGTCACTTTAAGATGAGTGGACTTCAACTCCCAGAATTCCCCAGCCAGCATGAAGTCCATTCATCTTAAAGTGGCCAAGTTTGGACAACACTGACATAGATAGATTTTCTCCATGATGATCTGTCCCTACCCTGTTCTTTCACATCCTCCGACAGCGCATGCTTCGCCACTATAGCTGAACTAGCCACGACTAGCCCCCTTGAACTTAGCTCACTGATCAAGTCCACTAGACTCCAGGCTGTTTCTCTGAGTTCCAGCATCGTCCTTAACCAGCCTGCAGCCAGCCCGAAACCCAAAGTCTAAAAGGCCAAGACAAAAGTCAAAACTGCCTTCCCCTTTTGCCACAGCCTACCTGAGATGAAGAACCCAGGTTCCCCATTGCTCCTCAGCATTTGAGTGCCCTGGGCTTCATTTTTCTCAGCCTGAAACCCGGATGGACAAACCAGCTGTTTTTCCTTTAACCGTTCAGAGCTCTCGAAATAGAACAAATGGAACATCTTGGTTGATGAATCATGATTTACGGCATAATGCAAGATGTGAACCCTTTAACTGAGGCTTATTCAGTAAAACATGGCTAAATAAACCATGGCTTGTGGTGTAGTATGAGCTACTTGCTAGGCGACAGCCATCAATGTCTATTTGCCCTACTGGCACCTCTCTCCAGACCAAATTCAGGACTGTACAGGCAGCAACATGGCCAGAATCACACAATAGACAAATCCCAAACCAGGTTATTGAAATGTAACTTTGTTTAGACAATGTGTGATGCTCAGATAAAGGATTTTCGGATTTAACATCAGAATCTGGTTCACAGACCATGCTAAAACATGCTAAGCCACAAACATAATAAACCTAGTTTAAAACTAACCACACTTTTTATATTGTGCAAATGCAGCACCACATCTTTAACTGAGCTAGTTAAGTGTGTTGTGCACACCTCACCCCATCTGAATTGCATACTATGTTTGTACGTGCTTCTGCGTGTGTGTGTTTGTAAGGGTCTCAAGTGTTGCACAAACAGGACCCATTTAGATAAACTGATTCTTTATATTGTGCAGAATCATGAAATGGGTTAATTCAGCAATCAGATTGTGTGCGGCTTGAAAACAATGTTAAAGGGGTTAATATATTCTTTGTCTTTAAAAAAAACGTAGGGAGAACTTTTTTTTTATAGGCCAGGGCACGTTAGAGCAATCTGCATGTTCAAACAATCAAAGGAGAGCCTTCTGGAAGCACAACAGAATAGTGGTGCCATGTCTTGAGTATGAGCAGTGATAACCTTTGGGGTGCAAGTGGGGTGCAAGTGGGGTGCAAGTGGGGTGCAAGTGGGGTGCAAGTGGGGTACATCCACATTATGCCCAGGCTGTACCCCTGTGTGCAATGTTGGTGGTGGTCCCAAAGGTTTTGGAAGCAAGCAATGTGCAAACGCTTGCCATGCTAGAGACAGCCACGAGGTGGTGCCCAGCACTTGCAGAGGACAGGAGCGTCAGCGGCAGGGTTTACACAGGGCAGACTAGTAGGACTGCCAAGGTCACAAGCAAACAGGCTGAGATTAGGATGGTACCTTGCAATAACCAGGGACAGATGCCACCCGCCCCTCCTTTGCAAAAGCAGGAAGCTCTTATCCTGTTAACGCAGAGATTTTGATGGGCATACTGCTAAGGCAACATCGGAAATTACCGTACAGCAATTTTGAACGGGTAGTCTTATTGATAAAAGAGAACTTAGCACTTTATCGTTTTACTCTTATGTGCTTTATGCAGCACACAATTTGATTTTTTATATTTGCTGAGTTTGTTGAGTTTGTTGAGTTCTGAAACAGGGCAGACTCATGCCACTGGCAGATAAATATGAAACTGGAGTCTGCCCCATAATCGAGCCTAAAGCTAGATTAAAATACTGTACATTATTTTGGTGTTTCAGCTTGTTTTTATCAGATCTTCTGTTTCAATAGATAGTACCCCAGAAACATAAACAATGGCTCTGTTGAGCTGATATAAGGATGGAGTTTGCTGCTGATCATGATGATTTTTGTTTTAAAGTGATTATTGGTGCTTTTTCTATGTTTGTATATTGGTTTTTGAACTTGTTTTTATTGGATTGTTGTTTTTACCTGTTGTGAGCTGCTCAGAGTCACTTAGATAAGATGGGCAACCATACAAATTGAAATAATAACGACGACACTGGTGGGAGAAAAAGGCACAAGAATTGGACCTTGTTTCTGGTAGAAAGAAGACTTGAATTTCCCTCAGCTGGGTCTGGTTCTTGCCATAAAAAGAGCCTGGGAAGATATTTGTTAGGTGAAGCCTGAGAGAAATAATACCACCCTGAGATGTGCTTAGTTTTGATTTATAACGTTATGTGAAACCAGCCATTGGGGCTTGTAAACCACCTTGCGCAAATCCGGCAAACGGTGATTCAATCAGTCACCAGGACTGGTAAACAAACTGTGATTTGAGCCCATCCAGAAAGTTTAGAAGAGCTGCCATAGAACGGGATCTCCGGAGGTCCTCCACCCATCCTTCTCTCACAAGCCAACCAGCCTTTCCTCAAAAACCTGAGTCAACTTTTTAAGTCAGCCCATCTGTTCCTCTACCCCAGTGTTTCTCAACCTTGGCAACTTTAAGATGTCTGGACTTCAAGTCCTTGGTTTTGGTCCTTGGGTCTAAAATCAAAGCAAGTTACCTCAGAAACTGTATATACTATATTTCTCCAATGAAGGTCAAAATGGGATGCCAGTGAAATTTGGCAGCCAAAAGTTCCATGACACCGTTTTTCAGGACTTTTTAAAAGAAAAATGAATTGAAATAAAAGACCGGGTTTGGGCATTAAGTGTCTGCTGAGTTTAATACACCTATTTTAATTTTAAAACCAGGGAGAAACTCTTTAAAGAAATGACTTTATTTGAAGAAGTCCATGCATTTCATTTTTGGCCACAGTATGCCTCCTTTTGGGACAGGTTTTGACTTATCTTCTGGCCATGGGATATCCTGGTGGTGCCCCCTCCAGACACCCCTATTTTGCTTAGCTTCCAAGCCCAGATAAACTCAGCCAGGTGCTTTGAAAGGAAGAAGCATAAACTCAGAATAATTTAAGGGCATTCTTTAAAAATTTGCAGTGTGGAGATCTGAGACCTCTTTGGCAATGTGAAATTTGGGGGGGTGAGGGAGAAGAAATGATCTCTCCAAATTTCTCCATGGGGGGAGAATTCTTGAGCCCCTTCTCAAGGGCAGGATCGAGAAAATGCCTCTCGGTAGGAATTCCTTTTTGATTCTTCCCCTAGCCTTGAGTGGAAACGTGAGAAGGCAGGGAGGCTGCACGCGGCCAAAGAAATGATGGTGCAGAGAAAGACAGGATATTTTCTCACACACACACACACA